TAAAATAGAAACATTTTTAAATAGAAAAGAAATGACACGTTTGGTAAAATAAAAACAGACCACGCACCTTCTTTCTTTATTTCGACCGTCGATTCGTTTGGACCTTATACTTTTGTCGCATACCTACGTGATTATCTCTGTTTATTCCTTCTACCCTTCTATCGCTCCTACCTACAAACATTTCAAGTATCGAAAGAATACGTGTCCACACTTTGTAGTATGCAGTCGCACACAAACGCACACATACAACCAGGAGCGATAACTACGAAGCATAGCATAAAGAGGAGACCGAGAATAGGAAAAACTGTATAGCCATATTCCGTCTCTCTCTCGCAGGTTCAATCCTATATGTTTGTCTCTCTTTCTCTCGTTATTTAGTATAGCAGCCGTTTCATAGCTTCGTTACATAGCTGCGTTTCTTTACTTTTCAGACCACTCCCTATTCTTAAGAAGTTTAGTTTTTTCTTAAGAAGATTTCACTTCAAAAATTTTTTCTCGTAATTCTAGAGTGTATTTATCATACCCAACAACTTTTATATGTATATGCATCCTACTAAGCCTAAAAAAAAATCGTGAAAATAGCCTTTTTTTCTAGCGTATAAACCAGAATGAACCCTTAATCCAAGCGAAACAATAACTGGAACCCTCTACCGAACACAATTCATGAGATTTAGCCAAGCTCTGACGAAAAAACACAATCAATACTACTCCAGACACGACAAAGTTATTCTTCTACATGATAATGCTCGTCCACATGTTGCGTTTCCGGTGAAAAACTACTTGAAAACAATTGATTAGGAAGTACTACCCCACCCGCCGTATTCACCAGACTCACACACAAACTTTACACTTACAAAGAACAGACCATACACCGTCTTTCTTTATTTCGACTTTCTGTTCCTTTACCCTTTAATCTTTCGTCGCCTACCAGCTTATCTATGTTTATTCTTCTACACTAAAAAATCGATCTTTAAACATTATTAATTAATAAGAAAAAAACAGTTTTTTATTACGTATCGTATAATTACGATCTCATATTAGTTTTGTTCATCACTATTAGGTTTTTGATTATTTAATATAAGGAAAAGATTTACTATTTTTAAAGAGGATTATTTTAAAGCGTGGCTACTTACAAACTGAAACCGATTATTGCCTGTAATTGGACGTACATCGCATATTTTACATTACGTCCTTTTGTCTTTCAATCTTTTAAAATTGTCACTATATATATGAGTGAAAAAGATATCTACCTAAAACATTGTATTTTTAGCTTATTTCAGAAAGGAAATTAAGCAATGAAGGCAACAAAAAACTCGTGTGACATGTTTTGAGATGACACAGTATTAGCTTAAAAATAAAAACGATAATTTGTGATATTTTGTTTGGGTAATTCTTCTTTGAAAGATGAATCCTGATCAAAAAGGTTACCAAATATTTATAAAGACATGCTACTCAGTATGATCGAAACAAATTCTACATTAACTTCTACAGAAGTGGACTTCAAAGAAGGAATTGGTTTCGAACCCAAACGCTCTGTCAAGATGCCACACATCTTCTTCAGAAAAAAAGCAAACAGAATTTTGTAATAAAGTTGTTAATAAATARGGCAATCATAGTTAAATACAAATAAAAATCGTTTATGTTGCATATTTTAATCTTTATCAAGTGTATTACAATAGATTCCAACAAAGTAATAAAGTTTTTACTTGCGTTTTACATCCTTACAAAAATTATTATTATTAACCTTCATACTTAAGTTCTCCCAAAGGTCTAATAATCAATTCAGTAATGTGAACGCGTTGGGGAGTTCCAATTATATAAATAACAGCATCTGCAATATCACTAGATTCCAACATGGGAAGTTGGACACTTGTACTTTTTATGTCGATATTGGAGGCTGCAATAATTTCCGTATTTACAAATCCTGGACTGATACTCTGTTAAAAAAAAAATTAGGAAATATAATTTCTTAAATTTTTTTTCTTTAAAATTTCATTAGTTGCTTAATATTAAAAGAAAAAAATTTATTTCTTTACAGTATGAAGTTTTTTGGAAATAAGTAAACAAAATCATACCATATTACAAGAATATAATAATATTATAAATTAATAAAATAAACTAAAATGTATTTGATTGATTGTTCAACGAACGGAACTTTTAAATGTTGCTAAAATTATTGCGATCTTTTCTACAGCAAAAATCCACACTATAAAAATACTTACACTAATATATACTCTATTCTATATTATATTACTATACTTATATATTCAGCAAATAAAATATAGTATATTAAAATATACTATGCAGATAATTTATAATTATTTCATTTAGAAATTAAATTAAATAAATTAAAAAGGGTTTATTTATTATAGTTTCAGATATTAAACTTAGACATATATTTACCGTCACTCGAATTTTACTTCCATGCAATTCCTTTGCAGTGGTCTCAGTAGCAGCACGTAACGCAAATTTAGTAGCTGAATAAAAATTAAGACTAACACCCGGAAAAGAAACTACATCGTGACCGGCGACACTGAAATAAGAAAATATAGTAGAGTGTTACAATCTATTATATTATCAGTAAATAACCGATGATAATAATAACATCAAAAACAAAAATATAATTAATAAGATAGACAATCAAACCTGTTCATATTAATAATGCACGCTTCTACGTTAGCATCTAACATCATTCTAGCAGCACGTTTTGTACAATCGATTACTCCTAACACATTGATATCGAATAATTTTTTCCAATCGGATCTGGACGAATCTAAAAAAAACATTTTATTAATTTCAGTTAAATGTAATTTCTAACAAATATTAATTTCATACCCATAAATTTCTTATCTGTAGAGACACCAGCATTGTTCACCAAAATATGAACTACTCCAAAATTTTTCTTGACCCATTCGAATGCATGCTCGATACTTTCAGGATTGGAAACATCACACTCGCATGCATAAAACTTTCCTTTATCTTTTCCCTTAACATTCTGCATTTCGCTCTAATAAAAATGATTTTTTCTTAATAATAATAATAACAGTATACATATAACGTTAAATATAACTATTACTTGAGTATATGTATTTTATTAAATATAAAACAATACATTACTTCATAATTTTTTTAATACAAAATATTTTAAATGTTTTACAAGTTTATAAAAAGTAAAAACGAAATAAAATTCAATCAATTACCTCCATCTTTTTTTTCCTTCTTGCAAATCCAATGACAACGACGTCATGTTGTACAAGAGCTTTTGCTATTGCTAATCCAATTCCACTGGATGCACCAGTAACTATAGCTATTTTACCAGACCACCGTTCCATGGTTTGTAAATCTCAATTTTGTCAAACAGTGAGAAAAATATTAATACCGATAGAATAAAACGTGTTATGTCGTTGAAATTACGTCCTCGACTGAACGCTAGAATCAGTTTACGTATTAAGTAATCAAACGTGTAACCTTGAATTATCTTTTCTATATATGAAAATCATAGAATGCACCATCATTTCAACATTGTACGCAGATAAAGACATTATATAACAGGAAAATTATATCCTACCCACTCATACTTTTTGCCATACTCTTCCGTATACATTACATGTATTTTTTTTATATGTAAATATCTGTTTAGTATGCCGGTTTTGTGGTTTTGTATGCTAAACAAGTTAAAACAATTTGATTATTTGCATATGTCTATTTTAGACATCGTCTTATTCTGTTGCTTGCAAACAACAATACGTTTCGTCAAAGTTCCTAGTCTATCGATGGCGAACCGATAACCAGCGGATCAGATGAATGACAAACTTTATTCTCAAACAGAATAATAATTCTCTTCTTTTTTTGCTTCTTAGGATAAGTATTTTGTAATAAATTTGTAATTAGTTAAGGCGAATTAGGTCAAATAATAATAAAAATCTTGTATGATACATATTTTAATCTTTATCAAGTGTCTTACAACAGATCCCAATAAAGTAATATAGTTTTTTCTCGCATGTTACATCATTACAAAAATTATTACTATTGACTTTAATACTTAAGTTCTCCCAAGGGTCTAATAATCAATTCAGTAATATGAACTCGTTGGGGAGTTCCAATTATATAAATAACGGCATCTGCAATATCACTAGATTCCAAAATAGGAAGTTGGACACCTACACTTTTTATGTCAATATTGGAAGCTTCACAAATTTCCGTATTTACAAATCCTGGACTGATACTCTGGTAAATACAAATTAGAAAAAAAATTTCTTAAAGTTTTTGTCTTTAAAATTTCATTAGTTGCTTAATATTAAAAGTAGGAAATTTATTTCTTTGCAGAATAAAGTTTCTTGGAAATTAATAAACAAAATCATACTATATCACATTTATGTAATAATAATATAAATTAATAAAATAAAGTAAAGAGTATTGGATTGATTGTTCAACGAACGGAACTTTTAAATGTTGCTAAAATTATTGCGATCGTTTCTACAGCAAAAATCTACACTTTAAAAATGCTAACACTAATATATCCCATTTTATATTATTCTTATAATAAAAATTTATAATCAAAATTTTTATTTTTTAATTAATTCATTTAGAAATTAAATTAAATAAACTAAAGACTGGGTATATATTTACCGTCACTCGAATTTTACTTCCATGCAATTCCTTTGCAGTGGTCTCAGTAGCAGCACGTAAAGCAAATTTAGTAGCTGGATACAAATTAAAAGACATGCCTGAAAAAGAAACTACATCATGACCGGCGACACTGAAATAAGAAAATATAGTAGAGTGTTACAATCTGTTATATTATCAGTAAATAACCGATGATAATAATAACATCAAAAACAAAAATATAATTAATAAGATAGACAATCAAACCTGTTCATATTAATAATG